TAATTATAATGAATTTTATAGAAATTTTCTAGTATAAATTGCAAACTTTAAAATGAATCTTAAGAAAGAATTCTAATGAATTCTAGTAGAAATTTTCTAGTACAAATTTCTTAGATTCCCTTTTTCCTCAAAGAGAGCTTGCAATATCACATATTTATAATTCAATTAGACATCAGGGGCAGATGATCAGAACAACTTGTAGAAATAATTTATACAACTCACAAAACTCGTCCCTCTACATCAAACCCTATACCTGCTCAATACCGGATACGGCGAGAATTAAATTTTCCTTACCCGGAACTCGAGATCGCTCAAAGTTGGCAAAACCATTCCCACATGGAACGTGCATAGCCAGCGCCTCAATCGACATTCCAATTCCTCCATAATTCTCGTGCGCTAACTTCTAACGCAGATTCGACATTTCGATACCCGCCAAGCTCCTACCCGTTCAACCTCCCGTGGACAACCCCCTAATTACGCAAAATAAAAATCGCGGTCGGGTTCCGCGATCTGCAATCGAGAGAGAGAGAGAGAGAAAGAGAGAGCTTACCTTTTACGATTTCTGGGACGCGAAGAGTCCCAGCCTCGTTTTCGTTTCCCGGCCGGAGGAATCCATTCGATTCGAGCGACCACGTCCACGAGCTCGGCGGATGGACGGAGCTGCACGGGCGACGGACAGATGAATCGGGCGAAGTCGCGCGGCAAGCCTCGGGGAAATGGCCGAAAGGACGGGCTAATGGACAGCGCCGCGGTCAATTAGCCATCCCGGCCGCATTCGCGGTTATTAATAGCGGATCGTGATCCAGCGAGATTGAGATCTCGGAGACGCGGCTCGTACTCTTCGAGAAGCGTTCCAGCCTGTGGCCTCGTGAAAAGGGAAACGGGGAGCCGCCATTATCGAGGAAGGAAATCGAGAGAGGCTCGTTGTCCCTCAGGAGGGACAGTTGGACGGATTGAACTCTTGAACTTGCCGGATAAGGTGAAAAGAGTGTTTATGGTAATAACGGTTTTAGTTGGCGATAGGTTTTGGCTTTGGGATCGTAGTGGTTTTTGCATGATTACGTAGGATGGTATTTAGGAGAAAGGTGTAGATTTTGTTCAAAGATTTTGTTTTATTCGATGAGAGGGGAATTAAAGTTATTTTTAAGGCAAATAAATGATTTATACAGTCGTGTCGAATTTTTTGATAATTAATTCAGGAGGAAGACAAAATTTGAAGTTTGTTATTTTGTTATTTTTATTGTAATTCTTTCTTGCTTCGTTATGTCTTAATAGTTTAAGGGGTTAAGATAATAGGAGTTGTGATAATAAGATGATGAATAGATCTGCATCAGTTTAGATTGTTCATAATTGCAAGGAAATCTCAGCTGATATTACAAGTTTCATTTCAACACGATTATATAAATGATTAGAATTACCTAATAAATCTGAATTGTATGAAGATCTCGAGTTAGAGTGAAATTTTTTCACATAATATATAAGTACAGGATGTTCCAAAAGTACTTGAGTTACAAAATATCATCTAATCAGAATAAAAAACATTATTAATCTACATCTTATATATTCCAGAAAAATAATTACGTTCTGGAAAACATTTCTATTTTAGAAATTCACTCATAATTGAAAAATTCATCAACCAAAATTCAAAACTTACTTAACGCCTACAACCTTAATAAGAATCTCGAGAAAATCTTCTCGTAAAACACTTCCACATCGATCAATTTCCAAAATATCGTCGAAACCAAAAGCCAGGGAATTTTTTATTTATCAAAAAAGAATTTTTTTGAAATCGAATTGAGACCAAAAGGGAGCAGCCCTCCGCAAGACTCGTAAGTCGTTCCCTCGAGGGTTTCCTCGCGATGCCCACGCGGGAAGTTGGCAGAGGCCAGGCCGGTGACGGACCACCGGGGAGCCGCCACGCCCCCGGTGGGTCACGTTTTACCCACGCGATCCGGCACGTCGCACGCGCTCGAACCACTTTTAAACGCGAGGATAGGGAAAGGTGGTGTGGCCATAATGCGCGGAATCGCGCGAGCTTGGCCCCCGGGGGCGAGAATAAAAAAGCTGGGAACCGAATGAAGGAATAAAAGGGGGGCCGAAGGGGTGGGAGCCGCGATGGCGGTCGACTCGTGACGGGATCAAGAGGCGTGTCACCGCGGGGTGAAAAAAGCGGTGTCGATGATCGTTCGATTCGGCGGTCACCCGAGCTTTCCTCCCTTATTTTCTCTTCCTTTGGTTTCTCCTTTTAGGAAGAGAGGAAAGTTTTAAAAGAGGTGTATATCGTGTTGGAATTTATAAAATTGATTGGGGGTAGCTTGGTTGCTTTCGTGGATTAAAATTTCTTCTTTCTCGTAATGTGATTCTATGATTCTACGAATAAATGGATACGATAATGGATAAGGAAAAGGGAAAGAAATCAATTTGGAAAAGTTATCATTTTGAAAGTTAGATTGGGAGTTGTTTTAATTGGTTTCTGAGTGGTAAATAATTTTTCAAATAATAATACGAGTTGTTTGAATCTTATCACCCTTTTATAAGGGTGCGAATTTAATATGGTAGATAATTTTTGGGCTCAATTTAATTTGATTTTGTGCGTCTCGAATTTCCAATTTCGTTAGGGGTATTATATAGCGCGGATAATACAGAAGAGAGAATTATGAGAGAACTTGTTTTTTGGCTTAATTAGTTCGAAAGAAACTTGGTTTTCCTTAGAATTTTGGACGGCGGCCAAACTTGTCCTTCTTAGCGGCCAACTTTCCTCTCTTTCCAAATCGGATTTGGAAAGAGATCCGTGGAAAGAGAATCGCACAATTTTCACTAATTATGACGTTTAATCGAGCAATTGTAGCTTTTTCCTTCTCGAAACTTTGATCCCACGGAAGTCATCCTTCATCCCGATTTCTCAACGATGGACGATTCATTGTAAAATTTCGTTCGATTTCTCCATCTATTTATTTCGCCGATTACGCCAATGGTCCGGTAACTATCGTGTAACAAACTTCGAGCTTCGTCCCACGTTCTCTTCTTCCCTCCCCTCCTCCCTCTCTGTCCATCCTTCGATCACGAATATTGGACCTCACATCGTGAACGAAACGCTCGTGTCGTGCTTAACGTCGTGCGATCAAAGTATATTTTCGTGAGTGTGTACCCCTTTATAGAGATAATAAATTCGTAACGATATTAATATTTTTTGATTTTTATCAATTTCGTCGACAGGTATAACGATAGAATAATTGTATTAATTTTAAATTATAAATTAATAATATATATCCATCGTTAAAGATCGTAAGAACGTAAGAACGTAATTTTTATGCAATTTCATTAATGAAAATAGATAAAATAAATAAACATTTGGAGAGCAAATTCTTATGATTGAAC